GACGACGACCGACGACGACGACGACGACGACGACGACGTCGAACGACGAACGACGAACGACGACGACGACGGACGACGACGACGACGACGACGACGAACGACGACGACGGCGACGACGACGACGACGAACGACGACGACGACGACGACGACCGATCGACCGACGACGCCGACGACGACCAACTCAGGCACGGCGGCGGGATGGGCCCCATGTCGAATCGAATACTCACATATCTCATCGAACTCTCGCCGCGGAGGCCTGAGAGGTCAGGAACATGATGAAAACATGATCAGAATCTCAAGCACGCTCTCGCCCCCGAGGCTCACGGGCCCCTCCCCCCAGCAGCCCCGAGCGAGGCCTGACCCTCCGCCGGCTCCCCCGCGGTCCCAGGGCCAGGGGCGGCGGAAGTGGCGGCAGCAGAGATGAGGGAAAGTCACAGAAGCTCTAAAGATGGAGGGCCATTCCTTTTCAAAATGGGGCTCTCGCTCTAGCGCCGCTGACATTCGTCTTAAAATTCTGCAACGGTTGCATGGATCGAGGGCGGTTCGTTTTCAAAATGGGCTCGCCGCGGGCGGCGGGGGTGGCGGCAGCCTCAGGCCCCCTGCAACGCTTTGTTTTCTCAGCTTTTCTCCTCCTCACCCACGGGGCGTTCGCGAGGAGCCAAAATGCTCAAACGGGTAGCTCAAAGCTCAGTGCCCTGGGGCGCTCAACTACGGTTCAGGCTTCCGTGAACACGTACGGTTCACGGGACAAGAGATTGGAGCTCAGGCTCCTCATACTCACCAGGTGCTCAGCCCAGTGGCCTCAGGAGCAGCAGCCGCAGCGCCTGCCTTACGAGGAGCAGCCGCATTGCCCTGGGTCTCAGGCCAGATCTCAGCGTAGAGCTCCCAGTGCTTGGTCTTCACCGCGGTCATGATCGCGTTCTGGTTGACTTCAGTCACGCTGTAGAGCTCATTCGCGAGCCAGGGCACGCGCTCAATGTGGCTCATCTCGGGAGGATCAATGGTAAGAGCCTTCTCACGCGGGTCGTCACCAGGAAGGTTGAGGAGCTGCTCGACCTCATCGGACAAGCACCTCATGGGGTCGTTGCTGCGACTCCCATATTCCCGAATGTCGGCAAGGAGCAACCTCAGCGTGTCGAAGTCGCCGCCCTCGTGGATCCAGCGCTTCATGGCCTCAAAGAACAGCGGCTTCACGGACCTCAGCACCATGTCCTGCACGGAGCTCTCATCGCGCGTTGGCTCAGGAGAGTCGGCGTGCTGCTTGTAAGCGGCGCCGAACATGTGGCCGTAGTTGTAGTTGATGGCCCTCACCCAGCCGATCGTGTGGTCCTCCATGGTCCTCAAGGATCAGGGGGAAGAGGAGGGTCAGGAGGAAGAGGAAGGAGCAGGAGGAGTGCGAGGAGGCAGAGGGGGGCCAGGAAGATCCTGTGGCACCACGTGGGATCTCCCCTCACGTCCCGCTCCGTCATGACCTCCAGCATGCGGACGGCCTCATGCGCCTGCAAGTTGAGGTTCATCAGCCGGCGCTCAACGAACGCGGACTTCATGGAGATCTTATCCAAGAGCCTCTCAGCCCCCTCGTTGCTCAGCTCGGGGCTCAGAGTGCCGACGGTGGCCATGGCTCAGTTGAGTGAAGCCGGGCCTCAGGTGGTTAGGTGGGCTGTCTCAGGAGGATGCCTCAGGTGTCCCTCGCTTGAGCCTCAAACGGCGGCGGCGCCGTCGCCGTCGCCGTCGCCGCTGCCGCCGTCGCCGCCGTCTCGCCAAGCCTTCAGGAGCCTCAAGAGGAGGATCCCGGGAGGGCCAGGATCCCAGGAGGGCCGGCCCTTTTCAAAATTAAGCTCTCAGGGGCCTCCGGAGGAGGAAACCCGGAGGGGGGCGCCTTGACGGCTGGGAGCCCGAGGTGGGGCCTCAACTAGGCAACCAGGAGAAGCCCCTCAGAGACCTCACGAGGGCTCACAAGAGGGCGGGCCCTTTTCAAAAATGGGCTCTCGCCTCTGAACCCTTGAGGAGCCTGTGGAGGAGGAATCCTGGAGGGAGGCGCCTTGACGGCTGGGAGCCCGAGGCGGGGCCTCAACTAGGCAACCGGGAGAAGCCCCTCAGAGACCTCGCGAGAGTGCACAAGAGGGCGGGCCCTTTTCAAAATTGGACTCTCGCCTCTGAACCCTTCAGGGGCCTCTGGAGGAGGAATCCCGGAGGAAGGCGCCTTGACGGCTGGGAGCCCGAGGCGGGGCCTCAACTAGGCAACCAGGAGAAGCCCCTCACAGACCTCACGAGGGTGCACAAGAGGGCGGGCCCTTTTTCAAAATTGGGCTCTCGCCTCTGAACCCTTCAGGGGCCTTTGGAGGAGGAATCCAAAGGGGGGGGCGCCTTGACGGCTGGGAGCCAGAGGTGGGACCTCAACTAGGCAACCAGGAGAAGGCCCTCAGAGACCTCGCGAGGGTGCGCAAGAGGGCGGGGCCCTTTTCAAAATGGGGCTCTCGCCTGTCTCTACACAGATTCCCTTAGGGTTCTTTTGCAAATTCCTCCCGCGTGCAGGGTAGTCCACGAGGCATTGTTCTCTGGGAGAAAGAACCCCCCCACAATATTCAGCGCGGCGCACAATTGTGGGCAATTAAATATCCCGCCGCCGCCGACTCGAGCGCCATGGCCTTTCTTCTACGATTCGTATTACAGAGGTTACTATGACGACGCCGTGGACGATTGCGAAGACGACTAACGACGACGAAGGACGTGGAAGACGACCACGAAGACGACGACGAAGACGACGACGGCGGCCTACTGAGAGGTCCTGGTGGCCACGCAGACTACAGAGATTTGTGTTACAATTCCCTTAGGATTATTTTGCAAATTCTTCCCGCGTGCAGGGTAGTCCACGAGGCATTGTTGTCTGGGAGAAATAACCACCCGATAATTGTCAGCGCGGCGAACAATAGCGGGAATTTAATTATCCCGCCGCCGCCGACTCGAGCGCCAGGGCCTTTCTTCTACGATTCGTACTACGGAGATTACTATGACGACGCCGACGACGATTGCGAAGACGACTATAACGACGATGAAGGACGTGGAAGACGACCGCGAAGACGACGACGAAGACGACGACGGCGGCCTACTGAGAGGTCCTGGTGGCCACGCAGACTATAAAGATTTGTATTACAATTCCATTAGGATTCTTTTGCAAATTCTTCCCGCGTGCAGGGTAGTCCACGAGGCATTGTTCTCTGGGAGAATACCCCCCCACACAATATTCAGCGCGGCGCACAATAGTGGGAAATTAAATATCCCGCCGCCGCCGCCGTCGTAGAGGAACTAGGAGCCCCTCAGAGACCCATCGGGTGGTCCACAGGAGGGCGGGCCCTTTTCAAAATGGAGCTCTCCCTTGTCAAGCCTCCAGGGGCCTCTAGAGGAGGGGCCCTGGGGGGAGACCCTTTGACGGCTGGGAGCCCGAGGTGGGGCCTCATCCGAGCAACCAGGAGGGGCCCCTCAGAGACCAGAGCTCAGAGAGGGAAAGGAGCCTGAGGGAAAGGAGCTCAGAGAGGGCGAGGTGAGGTGAGGGAAAGGAGCTCAGAGAGGGCGAGGTGAGTGAAATCTGTTTTACCTCAACATCCACAACCCAATGTCGAGCACTCACGATAATGGATTCAGTGCTGCCGTCCTCTGGAGCGAGTGCCTCCAGGGGGTTCAAATCTGCAAAGGCTCATCGCTGCTTCACGGGAATCTTTGACGCAGTCGCCACGCCGTCAGCGCATCTCTGGAGGATAAGGCGCATGTTGCCTCTCATCTCTTTGGAGGTGTCCCTGACAGGCTTTGGAAGTGTTCCCTCTCTGCTCTCAAAGCCGAGCCTCTCATAGTACCGGACAAGCTGGCCGCTGCCATCGTCCTCGGCCTTCAGGACGACCTCAATGCCAGGGTCGAGGAAGGGCGCCGCGGCGCTCAGGGTGACGCCCACCATGAATGTGCCGAGGCTCAACCTCTTCGCGCGTGTGCTTAGTGACTTCTCCAGGAAATCAATGCTCAGAACCCCGACGCGCCTCAGTGGATATGAAATCGCGCAGTGCGCCGGAGGCTCAGCGAGCGCCCTCGAGTCCCAGAGCTGGGCGTCCCTCATGTACGAGAGGTCTGAAGTTTTCCGCCTGCACCTCAGTCTTGTCCTCGATGGCGCTCCCGGCTCGCACGCCAAGAGCACGCGCAGATGCATCCATTTGTCGAACTCACGCAACCTCACCGCGAGGAAGCAGTCCGCGAGAGTCGTATCCAAGAAACTTCTGACCTCTGGCGCGAGGTCCATGCAACTCAGGAGGTTTTCTCCGAATCGATGCAACGCACCCATCTCAAAGCCATACTGCTTGCGGAGAGCGTCTCCAGGCCTCTCCGCGCTCAAAGGCTCAAGAGTCGACATGGCAATCTGCGACGAACTGAAGCGCCCAAGGGAAAAAGCCGATCCAACGCAACGCTGGGTTGCAGCCCAACGCATTCCCGTTGCAGCTCAGGCACCAGTTGGGTGCTTCACAGAGTTCGAGCCTGACGTGGCCGCGGACGCCGTTGTCACTGCCGCTGCCGTCGTCGCCGACGTCGTCTGGCTGGTCTGGCTGGTCTGGCTGGTCTGGCCTGGCTGGTCTGGTTGGTCTGGCTGGTCTGGCTGGTCTGGCTGGTCTGGTTGGTCTGGTTGGTCTAGCTGGTCTGGCTGGTCTGTCTGGCCTGGCTGGTCTGGTTGGTCTGGCTGGTCTGGCTGGTCTGGTTGGTCTGGTTGGTCTAGCTGGTCTGGCTGGTCTGGCTGGTCTGGCTGGTCTGGCTGGACTGGTTGGTCTGGTCGGTCTGGCTGGTCTGGCTGGTCTGGCTTGTCGTCGTCCTCGTCGTCGTCGTCGTCGTCGTCCTCGTCGTCGTCGTCGTCGTCGTCGTCGTCCTTCTCCGCCCTCTCAAGCGAGCGAAAGCTTTTCAAAAGTCAGCTCCCCCCTCAGAAGTCATGTTTGGGGTCCACGTGCTTTTTTTCCTGCCCTCAGCGGGGTCCTCCTCAGGGAGAGTTCGTTCTCGTTTGTTTCTGTATACAAAGGCAAGCATGTCGTCCTCAAGAGGGGGCGCCTCCAGAGGGCCAAAATCATCTGGAAAAGCTCATCGCAGTTTCGCGACGACGAGAAGACTCGCGGAGAAAAGCGGCTCAAGCGCCCTTTCACGTGAGCAAGGTACCTGCCGAGCTCAGACCAGTAGCCCCTCACCCTGGCCAATGCAACCGCCGACGCGGCAAGGCGCTTCCAAGCCTTCTTAATTTAGTCAAGGTGCAAGCACGAGCCTTCTCACGCTTACAAAGCAGCCAAGTGCTCAGGGCTGTCACGAGAATCAGGACCGAGGTGGTCAGCCAAGGCGTGATCTCAGCCTCGGGCTCAGCAGCAACGCTTGTCATGGAGCAACGCGTTGCCCCAGTGAGCGGAAACCACCCTCAAAGCTTGAGCCCGCAGCGGCCGCGGACAGAATCCCCTCAGAGACCTCACGAGGGTGCACAAGAGGGCTGGCTCTTTTCAAAATTGGGCTCTCGCCTCTGAACCCTCCAGGGGCCTCTGGAGGAGGGACCCCGGAGGGGGGCGCCTTGACGGCTGGGAGCCCGAGGTGGAGCCTCAACTAGGCAACCAGGAGAAGCCCCTCAGAGACCTCGCGAGGGTGCACAAGAGGGCGGGCCCTTTTCAAAATTGGGCTCTCGCCTCTGAACCCTTCAGGGGCCTCTGGAGGAGGGGTCCCGGAGGGGGGCGCCTTGACGGCTGGGAGCCCGAGGTGGGGCCTCAACTAGGCAACCAGGAGAAGGCCCTCAGGGACCTCGCGGGGGTGCACACGAGGGCGGGCCCTCTTCAAAATGAGGCTCTCGCCTGCGAAGAAAGCCTGACGGGGCCTCAGGAGGAGGGGCCCATGGGGGGGGCCCAGGAGAGAGGAAGGGGCATTGGTTCTACGCTCCACTCTCAGGCGGGCCCGAAGTCCAAAATCCACCCCTCAAGGTCTGCCTCGCGCGAGGGTCCAAAAACTCAAGCGATCTTCCTCGCGCGTGGGTCTAAAGGCAAAGCTCTATCATCTGCGCGCGCTCACCAGGTGCGCGGGATGAAGCCCTCACGGTGCAGCCAATACCTCAATGACTTCACACCGTCGCACATGTGGCAGCCGTGACTCCACCTGCACTTCGAGCACACCCTCGGGCCATCGCGCTCAGCCTTCAGGACCGCTTTCGCAGCCTTCTCACTGAGGAGCCCGCGGAGCTCCTCCCAGACCTTGACTGCGACGACGACGACGACGCGACGACGACGACGACGACGACAACGACGACGACGACGACGCAGACGACGACGACGACGACGGACGAGGACGACGACGTCGGCCTCAGTGGCGCCCTCGGTGCCGCCCTCGGTGCCGTGCGTGCCCTCAGCGCAGCCCTTGGTCTCAGTGCCGCCCTCGGCGCCGTGCTTGCCCTCAGCTGCGCCCGTGGTCTCAGCGCCGCCCTTGCCCTCAGCGGCGGCCGTGCCCTCAGTGCTGCTCTGGCCCTCAGCGGCGCCCTTGCCCTTGTCGCCGCCCTTGCCCTCAGCCTGGCCCTCAGCGCAGCCCTTGTCCTCAGCGGCGGCCGTGCCCTCAGTGCTGTTCTGGCCCTCAGCGGCGCCCTTGCCCTTGTCGCCGCCCTTGCCCTCAGCCTGGCCCTCAGCGCAGCCCTCGTCCTCAGCGGTGCCGCGCTTGCCCTCAGCTGCGCCCGTGGTCTCAGCGCCGCCCTTGCCCTCAGCGTCGGCCGTGCCCTCAGTGCTGTTCTGGCCCTCAGCGGCGCCCTTGCCCATGTCGCCGCCCTTGCCCTCAGCCTGGCCCTCAGCGCAGCCCTTGTCCTCAGCGGTGCCGCGCTTGCCCTCAGCTGCGCCCGTGGTCTCAGCGCCGCCCTTGCCCTCAGCGTCGGCCGTGCCCTCAGTGCCGCTCTGGCCCTCAGCGGCGCCCTTGCCCTTGTCGCCGCCCTTGACCTCACTCGGCGTCGTCGTCGCTGTCGTCGTCGTCGTCGTCGTCGCTGTCGTCGTCGTCGTCGTCGTCGTCGTCGTCGGCCTTGTCCTCAGTGCCCTCAGCGCCGCCGTTGCCCTGCTTGTCCGCGAGGCTCTGCTGGAAGGCGGCCTCAGCCGCGGCAGCTCGCTCTCCAGAGCGCCGCAGCGCACGGACCATCTTGGCCTCAGCCTTTTCGTCCATCATTTTCTGCAACGCCTCAGCGTAGTTCTCTGGCAGCGGGAGCTCAAGGTCCGAGCAGTTCTCATTGGCCAGCTTCTGGGCCAGCTCCTCTGCGCGCTGGCGCATGCTGTCGCTCAGGATTTGCAATTTCAGAAGACGCCGAGCCTCATTCTGGAAGCGGGCCACAGCCGGCAGAGCCTTCTCGCGGCGCTTACCCTCATCCTTCGCCCACTTCACGTGCTCATTGTCAAGGGCCCCGCCCGCGTCCCGCATCTTCTCCCTCACGGCCCTGATGCGGTCGTTCCCCGGCCACGGAACGGCCGCGGGGCCCTCCTCGATGGCGGGGGGAAGGGGGGGGGGGAGGGAGAGGAGGAGGAGGAGGAGGAGGAGGAGGAGGAGGAGGAGGAGGAGGAGGAGATTTCCTGGAAAAACATGCGCACCTCCTCCTCAAGGTAGTGGCACACGTGGGCCGCGCACTCCAGGCCGTCTTGCTTCGCGACGTTCTCGCGGGAGGGCCAGAGCTCAAGCCCCCGGAGCACCGCGCCTGGCGGCAGCACGCGCCTCACGGCGTCCAGGACGGTGTCAGCAGTCTGCAGGTTGCCAGCGCTCATGGTGGTCAAGGAATCACGGTAGTGCCACGAGTGCGTCAAGGCGCCCTTCAGGATCGTCAGCAGCGCGAAGTGGCCGCTCTTCACATTCAAGTTCCTCAGCGGGAACAACACCTTGTCATGCCTCAGAACGACCTTCGCCAGGAACATTAGGAGCCGCAGGAGCGCCGCGGGATCGTGGCCCTCCTCGGTGGTCATCGTGGCGATGTTCCAACTCACGTCCGGCCTCGCGATGATGTGCTCGCAGCCGTCAGTGCCGAAGGTCGCTTCGAGGATCGCTGACCAGAGGTCCACGTGCGCGGTGCTCAGCTCCTTCGGGGTGTCCTTCGTCACCGGCTCAATGCGGGAGTCACTCACGGGGTCCACGACGCTGGCCATCTCGAGGACCACCTGCTTCTCTGCGCGGGTCTTGTGCTTTGCCTGCCAGAGCTCACGCTTGGCCAAGAACTTGTCAGAGTACCTCAGGAGGTTGCTCGGGATCTCGACGGTGTGGAACGCATTCTCAAACACGAGCGTGCTCATGCCCGTCACCTCGTTCCGGGCCTTCTCGTTGCCCTCGCGGGCATACATGCGCTTGTACCCTGTCGCCTGTGCGCTCACGCGCACGCGGGGCTCTGGGGGCGGCGGCTCAGGCGCGGCCTACGCTGGGCTTCACCACCTGGGTCTCCCCCCTCAGTCGCGTGTTGCTTGTCAGCAACCCCTTGGAGAATTTGCCCAGGACGCTCCTCAGTCTGGTCTTCACCTCGGCCTTGCTCATGTCCTTCGCCTTGCCCACCTGAGGCACGATGGACTCAAGCACCTGCCTGCGGCTGGCCACCTTCAGGCGCTTCTGCAGCTCATGGAAATTATCACGATTCGCGGCCATGTGCCACTCATCTCGGCGTGACTTCTTCAAAGTTTTCCGACTCCTCGTGGCCTGCGTGCTCAAGCACCTGTCATAGGCGCCCCCCGTGGCGGCGGCGCGGCCCCTCACCCTCTCCATCAGGTGCTGCGCGGCGTCCTGGAACTGCTTCACCTCGTCCGCAGCGGTCAAAGAGAGCTCCAAGCTCACAGACACTTATTCCACCTCCTGCTCATCAGTGCCCTCCAAAGACTTGAGCTTCACAGTGGCGCCCTCAGGTCCATGGTAGCTCTGCTCCTCCATGTCGCCCAGCGAGCTCACGCCTGCGCCCTGATCGTTCCAAGGCAAGGGCGAAGGGATTCCATTCTCATCGAACCAATTGTACGTGTCCTTAGCCCACTCAGCCTTGATCTGGTGGTTCCCCTCAGTGAACCCCTTTGCCCACGGCTGCTCAGTTGCCTTGACCAGAGTCTTGGTCGCAAAGTCGGGCCTGTAGCTGAGCAAGTCGTTCCCCAACCCTGCCTGCAGCGTGCGCGGTTGCTCAGCGTCCATGAAATGCTTCAGCTTTTTCAAGGCCTCAGACGTGACCCTCAGGATCTCGTAGATCCCTTGCTTGAAGCAGGCGTGCACGCCCTCAGCGATGGCCTTCTCCCGCAGCTCCCGCCTCAGCTGGTGCTGTGCCTCATTCGCGAAGCGCTTCAGGTGATGCGCCACGTCAGTGTCAGTGATCTGAAGAAGCACTGGCGTCATCTTGCCCCAAATCCACGCTGGCCTCTGATTGATGGCGCTCATCGTCAGCCTCATGGAAGCGACGCTGGAAAACACAATCCCTGGCCATCGCCCCGCTCTTCCAGCGACGACGACGACGACGACGACCGACGAAGACGACGACGACGACTGCGAAGACGACTAACGACGATGAAGGACGTGGAAGACGACCACGAAGACGACGACGAAGACGACGACGGCGGCCTACTGAGAGGTCCTGGTGGCCACGCAGACTATACAGATCTGTATTACAATTCCATTCGGATTCTTTTGCAAATCCTTCCCGCGTGCAGGGTCGTCCACGAGGCATTCTTCTCTGGGAGAAATAACCACAATATTCAGCGCGGCGCACAATAGCGGGAAATTAAATATCCAGCCGCCGCCGACTCGAGCGCCATGGCCTCTCTTCTACGATTCGTACTACAGAGGTTACTATGACGACGCCGTGGACGATTGCGAACACGACTAACGACGACGAGAGACGTGGAAGACGACCACGAAGACGACGACGAAGACGACGACGGCGGCCTACTGAGAGGTCCTGGTGGCCACGCAGACTACAGAGATTTGTATTACAATTCCCTTAGGATTCTTTTGCAACTTCTTCCCGCGTACAGGGTCGTCCACGAGGCATTCTTCTCTGGGAGAAATAACCACCCGACAATTGTCGGCGCGGCGAACAATAGCGGGAATTGGATTATCCAGCCGCCGACGACTCGAGCGCCAGGGCCTTTCTTCTACGATTCGTACTACGGAGGTTACTACGACGACGCCGACGACGATTGCGAAGACGACGAACGACTATGAGAAGCGTGGAAGACGACCAGGAAGACGACGACGAAGACGACGACGGCGGCCTACTGAGAGGTCCTGGTGGCCACGCAGAGATTTGTATTACAATTCCATTAGGATTCTTTTCAAAATTGGGCTCTCGCCTCTGAACCCTTCAGGGGCCTCTGGAGGAGGAATCCCGAGGGGGAGGCGCCTTGACGGCTGGGAGCCAGAGGCGGGGCCTCAACTAGGCAACCAAGAGAAGCCCCTCAGAGACCTCACGAGGGTGCACAAGAGGGCGGGCCCTTTTCAAAATTGGGCTCTCGCCTCTGAACCCTTCAGGGGCCTCTGGAGGAGGAATCCCGAGGGGGAGGCGCCTTGACGGCTGGGAGCCCGAGGTGGGGCCTCAACTAGGCAACCAGGAGAAGCCCCTTAGAGACCTCGCGGGGGTGCACAGGAGGGCGGACCCTTTTCAAGATGGAGCTCTCGCCTGCCACGCCTGAAAAGAGGCCTCAGGAGGAGGCTGCTGCTACTGCTACGGCTACTGTTACGGCTACTGCTCACTCCCTGCTCGCTGCTACTAACCCTTCTACGGCTACTGCTATTGCTACTGCTACGGCTACTGCTCACTCCCTGCTCGCTCCCTGCTCCCTGCTCTACGGCTACTGCAAGGGCTACTGCTCACTCCCTGCTCGCTCCCTGCTCCCTGCTCGCTGCTCGCTGCTATGGCTACTGCTGCGGCTACTGCTCACTCCCTGCTATTGCTACTACTGCTCACTACGCTCACTCCCTGCTCGCTGCCACTGCTACTGCTACCACTGCTCACTTACCCTGCTCACTGCTCTCCCTGCTAACTGCCTCTGAGGAGGGGAAGAGGAGGGGGAGGAGGAGGAGGAGGAGGAGGAGGAGGAGGAGGAGGAGGAGGAGGAGGAGGGGGGGAGGGAGAGGGGGGAGCGACCAGTTTATTCACCGCCGAGTAAAACAGGTGGGGGGGTACCAAAAGAAAAGACCTTTAGAGGTTAGTAGTAGTAGTAGTAGTAGTAGTGGTAGTTCGTCGCCGTAGTAGTAATAGTAGTATTAGCAGAAGGAATAATAATAGTAGGTGTGGTCACACTTATACTGGCAGTCGTTGTCATCGTTCTCGTCGTCCTCCACGATTCTTGCATGTCTTCCTTCTCCCGCGGCGACGCTGCCGCCGGCCTCGGCGGTCACAGCCGAGACAACAGCAGCGACGACGACCTTCTCCTCAGCCCTCCACCCTCCTCCGATACGTCTGACGGCGACTGTGGGAACAAAAAAAGGTATCGATACCGCTTCTCCCAGAATCTGTCTAGGGGTGCGTTCTGACCATGGTATCGATGGGAATCCAGCCGTGACGGCGCGGGATGGGTAGCGGTATCAGAACCTTTCCCTCCTCGGAGTGAACACGACGTTGGCAGCCACGGCGGTTGCGGCGACGACGACGACGACACCGATAAGAAATCCGACGACGGCGGCGGCGAGAGGGCGGCGCCTGGGAGGCTCCGGGAGGCGCGGGGTGCAGCGGCACCCCACCAGCGGGTCCGACCACTCGCTCCGCCCCAGCTCGTTGATCGCCACGGCCCGCACGGTGTAGCCTTGTCGCCGCCCGCCGCGCGTTCGCCGCCCGCCGCCCCCCGCACTCGGCGTGGTAGTAGTCGTCGTCCGTTGTCGCCGCTGGCGTCCGTCAGTCGGTCTGTGGATTCGTTGTCGTGGTCGGTCGGTCGGTCGGTCGTCGTCCTCCTCCTGCTTCTCGCCGCTGTCGTTGTCGTTGCCGTCGTCTTCGTTTTCCTCATTTTCCTCTTCCAAATCTTCCATCTCCTTCTCCTCCGCCTTAGGGGCGGGTCAGGACGAAGGGGAAGAGGAACTGGATGAGACGGGGAGGGGAAGTAAAGGGAATAATGGGGAGGACTGACTAGTTAGACGAGGCTAGATTGTCATTCTAATGATTATTATCATGCCTACTTGTGTGATGTCGCACTGCATTATTTCGACCGACCGACCGTGCCTGGGATGTGTGCTGGGGTGGGATGTGTGTTGGGACGTGTGCTGGGACGTGTGCTGCCTTCGTGTGCTGGGATGTATGCAGGGCTGTGAGCTGCCTCCGTGTGCTGGTAGACGCGGATGTGTGCTGTCCGCGCCCTCCCGTCCCCCTGCTCCCCCCTCGCACCCCTCCGCCCCATGGCCCCCGTCTGCTTGTTCCGACCAACCGACCGTGCCCCTCGTCCTCCCGACCGTGCCCTCCCGTCCCCCTGGTCCCCCCCCGCACCCCTCCGCCACGTGGCCCCCGTCTGCCGTCCCCCTGGTCACCCCCCCCGCACCCCATCTGCCCCGTGGCCCCCGTCTGCTCATTCCGACCGACCGACCGTGCCCCCTCCCTGCCCGACCGTGCCGTACCCCCTCCCCCCTCCGCCCGACCGTGCCCTCCCGTCCCCCTGCTCATCTCCGCACCCCTCCGCCCCGTGGCTCCCGTCGGCTTGTTCCGACCGACCGTCGCGCCCTCGCCTTTCCCCGACCGTGCCCTCACATACCCGTGCTCCCCCCCCCCCCCCTCCCCCCCCGCACACCTCCGCCCTGTGGCCTCCGTCTGCTGATTCCGACCGACCGACCATGCCTCCCCCCACCCCCTCCGCCCCGTGGCCCCCGTCTGCGCCCGAATTTGTGTGATCCTTGGCACGCGTGCCTCGTGTTATGATTACAGTATGTTTGTGGGTATTACTGGTATAACGGTTATTATGAGCATTCTTGTTCTTATGAGTATTATTATTCGTGTTCTTATTTACTGTTGTTTGGCTAAGGTGAGATTCTGGTGAATTCTGCATGGCTTCCAGGTGGATGCGGAGAATGCGATGTATGAGGGGGGGGGGCAGGAAGAAGGGAAGAAGGATTAGCAGAAATCGGGCGGGGAGAAGGAAGGGAGGGCCCCGTTCCCATCCACTCCCCCCCTATCCTCCTGCTCCTCCAAGCCCGACCTCGTCTTTCCTCCCCCTCCAGCCCATTTTCCTTATGAAGGGGTGGGTGGGGACGGAGATGAATACCTGCTCCTCCCTGCTGCTCCTCCTCATCGTTCCATTCCCTTTCTCCTCGTCCTCCTGCACCCCTGAATTTATATGACGTCAGGTGCGTTGATATTTGACTGCCAGCGCGTGCCCCAAACAATGATTTCTTGCGCTCTGACCGTGGAACAGGTATAGTGCAAGCTAAGTTGTGCAAACTACGTGGCGCCACATGGTGCGAACAACCCGCACCCTGGCAACGGTAGAACAAACCCAGAAATCCGATAGGGAACTCGCAAGGATTCGGATATCTGTTCCCGGGAAGAACATACGACAAGGCCCCGAATGAGCAAACGCCCGGCGCTGGGAGACGGGGGTGACAACCCACTGAGGCGCGGCCCAAAGGCGAGCCGAGGAGTCGCCTGGCACGCCACCAGACGAAGCTGCCTGGCGACGCACATCTTTCGCATTTCTCTGGTGTACTCGATCTAGATCACTCGAAAAATATCCTGGTAAAAGACTCAACCATACGTTGTCGTGAGTACGGCGTTGTGGGTACCGCTTTCAGTGGAGCTGCCTATTGGGCCACGAACCGTGTGAGGGGTGTGCCGACATGGGCGTCGGGCGCATGCGGACCCTGTCCCTGGGGCCGGCCGTCGGTGGAGCTCCCTATTGGGGCACGAACCGCGTGAGGCGTGTGCCGGCATGGGCGTCGGGCGCACCCGCGCCCTGCCGCTGGGGCCTTCGGTGGAGCTCCCTGCGGGGCCACGAACCGTGTGAAGGGGTGTGCCGACATGGGCGTCGGGCGCATGCGGGCCCTGCCCCTGGGGCCTTCGGTGGAGCTCCCTGTGTGGCCACGAACCGTGCGAAGGGGGTGCCGAAATGGTTCACATGCGGAGGGCAGAGGCAGGAATGGGAGGGGGAGGGGGAAGGAGGAGTGAGTGAGGAACGCGGGGCGCTGTCTCTTCAAAACGGGGACCCAACACCATAAGATGGTTGGGCATTTTCATAAGAAGTTACGCCCAGAGCCCTAGACCCCATCTTTCTGCACCATCTTTCGAACCTGATCAATATGTGAGGGCCCCAGGGCGGGAGCAAAAACGGAAACGCCGGGCTCGAAAAAGTTGAAACGCCAGGATCTCAGGGAACATATAACCCCTTATTGCGGATAATCAACCCGAAGGGATAATAAAATTGGGGGTTTTCGGGGGGATAATAAAAGTTGCCCGCCAGAGCCAGCATAAAGAGATATCAAAAGGAAAAAGCCAAAGATATCTTGAGAATCCTTGGTCTTTGGTCCTCTATGAGACATCCTCAACAATGACTTGTCCCGGTTGAGACATCCTCAACGAATTGCTTGTTTCGCTTGAGACATCCTCCCCATCAAAAAGAGAAGAAGAGGAAGAGGAGGTAGAGGAGGAAGAGGAGGAAGAGGATGAGAAGGAGGAGAAAGAGCAAGAGGAGGAGACAAGAACGAGGAAGCAAACATCCAAAGTTCAAAACTTATTAGATTTAATTTGTAAACGCTTAATGGAAATTAAAATTTTCATCTGCTCGTGTAGGGGTAGCTCATGTGCTTAGTTTTCCCAGGAGAATCAACCCCAGCGATAAACAAGTTCAGGGGGCCAGGGAGACAAGAAGAAAAATAAATAGAAAGAGAAATATAAAGAAAGAAGAAAGGGAAGAGGAGAAGGATGAGAAGGAGGATGAGCAGGAGAAGCAGAGCAGGAGGTAGAAGCAAAAATCCAAAGTTGAAAACCTATTAGATTTAATATGTAAACGCTTAATGGAAAATAACAATTTTCATCTGCTCGTGTAGGGTAGCTCGTGTGCTTAGTTTTCCCAGGATAATCAACCCCAGCGATAAACGAGTTCAGGGCGCCAGAGGGAGGAGGAGAAAGAAAGACAGAGAGAGAGAGAGAAAAACAGAAAGCAACACAAAGAAAAAGAGAGAAAGAGCACACGTGTTCGCTTCGCTTGATGTTGTTATCTCAACATGAGAAGGAAGTAACCTCGATGGCGAACTTTCCCAGTGATAATGAAGTTCGGCCTCCGCGCCCCCGCGCCCCCGACCAAACTCTGATTGGTCGACGATAAAAAAACTCTAACGACTTAAGGGGGGGGGTTCTTTATTATCCTGGGCATAGGGTTAAGAACCCCTAAGTGCAAGCGCTGCCAGGGACACAAGTGCTTCTCGTTGTATCGCCACACATGTCGGCAGGGCGGCCTGGTCCCGTGGGCGCGCCGCCCGAGACCTCTCACGCCGAAGCTCCCGCGTCCCCCAAAGCTGCAGCGATGGACGGAGGTCGGAACGCCTGGCCCGTCCTAATTACCGACACGCCGGGTGCGGCGACGAGGCGGTACAAGAACAACAGCCTGCATACACACAATCTTTCGAGGCTCCGCGCGCGGATTTCTTGGATCTTCGATGGGCCCCCCCGAGCGCGCAAGGGGCGGCGCCGGAGGCGCCGCCAGAGTGGTCCGGCGCCGATCCAAGACACCCCTTCGAACGTTCATGGTTATGCAGATGATGTGAACTTTTAATCGAACATGAGCATTCGGTGCGCCGAAAAGGGGGTCAGCGCGTCGTAGCCCCGCGCATGTGCACGGACGAGGGGGACCAGGGGACGTTTTGGAACAAGACAAAGGGGGCCATGAACTCTGAGATGCCCCCCGGCCCTGGTCCTCACAATCTACTTCGACTTCGATGCCCCCGAGAGAACGAGGAGGAGCAGCCCGAGCCTATGCCGGGCGTCAGGCGGAGCACGGTGTGGTAGAGCAGTCCGTCCTCCTCTCGAGGGGACGCCAGCAAACCACCCGCTACCGATTCTGGCCAGTCCCTCTACTGATGCTGCCGGGCAGAGACCGAACCCCAATACGAAGGAGAAAACCCAAACCCCAGACCGTTTTGAAACAAATCTAAACGAATGTTCACGGTTTCGGACCCCAAGACAATCAAGGAACTACTCAGGGCGACAAGCCGGACCAAGAGTCCAGAGACCACCGCATGTCTGGGAGGACGGGGTTTGGGACGGGGGAGTATTGCGGCATCTTTGCTGAATCCTGGGTGCACTGTCTGTCATCCACTCTCTCCTTTCTCCTCGTCGTCGCCCTCCAGCTCCTGAAGGGGTCGCGGCAACGGTGCAGTGCCCCTTTTGACGGAAAGGTCATGGAGCATGAATCCTTCTGGCTTGGAGTCAGTGCGATGCAGATGCGACGCCCAGCGTGAGACAGCGGCACGGCCGAAGAGGACAGAAAAGACGCAGCAGAGGGAGCGCCTCGCGCGTTCCTAGAGCTTGGACGAGCCCCTGGAGCAGCAGCGATGGGCCTGCGGCGAGTCAAGGGCGCAGCGGAGACCTCCCCTATAGGGAGGCCTCGACCGGCAGGCTCCTCCAGCTAATCCAGAAAACCCGACTTGTCTCCTTTTCGGGAGGAAAGCGGTCAGGGGGAGGAAGTAAGACAGAGCTCAAATTGAGCTCGTCCAAGTCACGTCTAAGGAACGATATGCAGATTTCGATGTGGTGCCCCCCACGGCGCTGTCCAACTCCGATCACGCCAAGAGGGCACTCTCGTACGTGGGCACCATGTACTTGATGTTGATGAAAGCGTCTTCGCCGCCAGTGGCCTCGAACATCTCGAGCGTCTCCGATATCAGGTCCCCGACGTTCATGCGCTTGCGCTGGGAGTAATCCATGGAATCGCCGATGTTACGGTTTTTCTGTTTGTAGATGTTGAAGATCGGCAGGATCTGCCGGTAGTAGGGCACGAGGGCCTCCCCTATCATGTCGCCGCTCTGCACCAGGGTCTGGAGGACCTTGAGCACAACACATATGATGTCCTCATCGCGGCTGCCCAGCGCGGTCTTGATCGGAATGATCAGCTGCGGGACGACTGGCAGGATCTTGGAGCCGCCCTTCTCCAGCAGGTCGTAGATGCCCTGCACCGCCAGAAAGCGGTAGGGGTCCTCCTTCTCGCGGAGGCCGTCGAAGAAGAGGGGGAGGTAGTGGTGGTAGTCCAGCTTCTCCACGTCGACCTTCCAGGAGATCTTGCCGCCCGTGCTCCCGTGGTAGATCTGCAGCGGCATGTCCCCACGATCGTAGAAACGCCGGAACTCGGAGGACCCAACCGTGCGCCGCTGGGTTGCGCCCGCCCGTGGCGGGCCTTGGGACTGCCCCCGCTTGCTCTCCAAGGCGCTCGCCACGCACTTCGCCCCGCCGGGCTTGTTGCTGTACTTTGAGGGGGGCATGAACTCCTCAGGGAAGTCGCCAAAGCAGCAATGGGAGCCCATCGGGAGGTAACCGTTCAGCTTCTCCGCCTTCGTGGATTTGGTGCCGTCCCTGTGCATGATTTTCCTGAGCGCGTCCTCGTTCTGGAGCGTTTTGGCAGTCATCCTGCTTTTCACGGGCGGGAATGTGCAGGTTGGTCGCCCGCGTGCGCACCAGGAGCTGCTTCGCCACTTCCAGCCAAACAGGCTTGAGCCAAAATGGCTATGGACTTGAGCCCAAATGGCGAACTACAGAGCAGGGGCAGGACACCAACACCCCAGGGGCGCACCTTGAACGAACAGCAGACTAGCCAAGACACCGCAACACACACGGCTGGACTCACAGTGTGGAGCATTTCCGGAGGCGACCTGCTGGATGGACATGTGGAGGATCACCGTACCTGGCCGTGCGAGGGCCGAGCGCTGGAAAGCCATGCGGCCACATTGAAGGGGCCCAGGAGCACACAATGGCCAAGATCCCCCATGTGTTTGTGTCTGTTCTGGGTTTTCGTCTTTTCCCCCCACTTCCTCCAGTCTCCCATATTTCCCCGGGAATCGATGCTTAATTGTGTCTGGGTGATTTTCCCATCCTGACACATGTCATTCCAGCTTTCGCCCGGACTGGCCACCCAGTTTCCCAATGCAGAAACACAAACTCTCGGAGGTCCGCGAGGATCTCTTGGGTCGGAGCTGGACCCTCCTCTCCTTGCGCGCGGAGCGCGCCAGGGAAGGCGTCGACCCAAGAAATCTGCGCGGATCGCTGATGGTCTAAGCTGATGCTGCTGTCTCCTTCGGGCATCTCCTCCTCCGCCTTCCTCCTCCCCTCGAGGCTATCCTGGGACGGGTCCGCCTCCCAGGTCTCCGTCTCCCACTTCTCGCCGTGCAACGTGTCCTCCACCTCCGGGCAGGGGCGGCGTGCGACGATGGTCGGCTACACGCACGAGCGGCCACTGGGGCAGGAGTGGCCTCTGGTGCGCGGCTTGCCGATCGCTGGGTGCGATGCGACAGCAGCGGCCTGCGTGCTTGGCTGTGCCCCAGCAGCGGCCCCCGAAAGCAACGCACCGGAGGCCCCTCTTGCGAAGGGACGCTCGTTGCGTGTCGCGGCGGCGGCCCCGGCGACACGCTGTGCCTTGCGGGCGGATAACGTGTCGCTCCGCTCCGCGGGGCGGAGGGCTCGGAAAAGCTCGGGACACCGACGCCCGGGGACCGGCAGCGGATAGCATTCCGCGATGAAGCGAGGTGGGCCAGAGCTGGCGGCGCGAAGCGATTTCCAGAAGTTCCTGACCGTGAGTGCAACCCAGGAAAGGGGGGGGGGCGGGGGAGACGCGGTGCGGCTCTAAGAGGCCTCCCGAATGGGGTCCGAGCGGATGGGAACTGAAGATTCTTCCGCGAAGTCGGCGATGCGTCGGCGCCGTCGGCGTGGAGACAATCGGGCTCCACATCGAGCCACGTCGCCGACGCATCGGCGATGTGGCGCGATCTGGGAGGCCTAGGGGCTTGGGGCCAGGTGCAGGCAGCCCCGCAGAATCAGAGTTAGGTCGGGCGTGCCCCGCTACAGGCGGATTTTGGACGAAAGTTTAAACAGAGTCAAAACATGCACAACACATATTCTTTAAAAAGGATCGAAGCATCGTCCCCAAATCATGTTAAACTATTTTTGAGTATCCCCCCTGTAGAGGGACAGGCCCGACTTGAAGTCAGAGCTCTGGCTGGTCTCAGGCCGTCTGCACGCGCGCTCCAGTGGGCCGGGCTCGGGCACGCACTCACTGTCCGGCTGCATGCAGAGGGAACGAGGGCGGATAGCGTTACATCGGGCCTGTCCCTCTACAGGAGGGATATTCAAAATAATCGTTTTTTAGTATGGGAGCGATTCTTCTTTATTTGTTTAAGATCGTTTTTGTTTTCGCACTAATTTTATATGTTCGTCCAAAGCCCGCCTGTAGGAGGAAATGCCCCAGCTAAGGATAGCGGCCGCGGAGGGCGGAAGAAGGGGGGCACTCACAACACGAAGGCGTGGCGGGTCTCAGAACGGGAGACCAGCACAAGCCTGCATGCGCGCGGGCACGGCTCCTCTGCGCCGGCGCTGCTCGCAGTGGCGAGGGCGGGGAACGCTCGGGCCCCGCCGGGGCGCAGACCTGGCCAGCATCAGCACGTTCCCCCAGAACGCCGACCGCGACGTTTCAGTGTGGTTTTGGTCGGCCGAGATGTCGGACAATGCCCACACACACATAGCGAAAAGCACGGGCCGCGCCGCTGGTTCCCAGCTGCTCAGCGAGAGAGGGAGAGAGAGAGAGAAAGAGAGAGAGAGAGATAGAGAGAGAGGGAGAGAAAGAGAGAGAGAGAAGGAAAGCAAACAACAAGACAATGAAAAACGAGCAAACGGCGACGAACGCGCAAGCGGGAGTAATTAAATCCGAGACGATGCGTACGAAACGCTTCACAAAAGAAATCTGGTCCACCTTGCCGGGCAGACCAAGTCCTGGACCCTGAGGCCTTCCTCCCAGTCCAAGTCTTGCTTTCGCTCCAGCCCTTCTGTGGCGGTCCTGGGACCTGGGGAGGGCCCTGGCGCGCCCGAAAACTCAGAAAAGCCTCCAGGACTCGTTTCCTCAGGACCCGTTTGAAACATGGCGAGCAATTTCCGCTTTCAATGTTTCGATGGGCCCCCAGACGCCTCAACCCCTCCCTAGGGCCTGTTTTTCGTCCCGAGTCGTCTTTTGACGGCCCTGAGGGCCAGAGAGGTCCTCTGGAGGCCGATTTTTGAAAGACAATATGATTTGATGTTGTTGCCTGGCTTCAAGCCATAGCTCGGGCCTCTGGCAGCCGTTCGGGGCGATTTGGGCACCCCCAGAACGCTTTCGGCAAGGCGCAGCTGCTGGAAAGCACTCGGAAGCTGGAACATGTCGGGAATCAGCGAAAATTCAAGAGAACCTCAAACGTCGAACCTCGTTTCTCACGGTGTTGGGTGTCAGGTGTCTGCCCCCCCCCCGCCCCCACCCCCCGCCCTGGAGACCTCCAGCGCGTAGTGCGTCACCGCCAGCCCGTTGCCCGCGGCGGGGGCGAGGCGGAGGGTGAGGCTCCAGCTGGAGGTGTCCTCCTCCACCAGCTCTGGGGCGCAAGGCCTCTCTTGAAGGACAGATGAGGAAGCCTGCGTCGCCATTACGGCGGCAGGCGCGGCATGGTCCTCCTCTTTGTGTCACTCTCCTCCTCCCTCCTCCTCCTCCTCCTCCTCCTCCTCCTCCTCCTCTTCTTCGTCTCTCTTCCTCATCTTCCTCCCGTCTGCACTGCGCCGTGGCCTGACGCCCGCCCGCCGCCCTGGCAACGCGAAGGCGGCTGGGTGCGATCATCGCGGGTTTGTTCTCCCCTCGGTCTGGGTCAGCGGCAGCGGCTCGCAGGCCAGAGGGGGTTCAAGCACACGTTGGGAACAGGGGAGTTGGGAGAAGTTGGCTGTATGCCTTTCGAGTCGTACGGTTGGGAACGTTTGCTTAGCGTGTCGTGGCGGCGGCCCAGGCGACACGCTAACTGTGCCTTGCGAGCGGATGGCGTGTCGCTCCGCTCCGCGGGGCGGAAGGCTCGGAAATGCTCGGGACGCGGACGCCTGGGGACCGGGAAGCGGACAGCGTCTCGCGCCGAAGCGGTGGTGGGCCAGAACCGGCCCGCTAAGCCGAAATTTCCGACATTAGAAGTTGTGCGTATTTGGTTTTTGGAGAACTTGTGTGTGTGTGTTTTCGGGTCATGATTCGGGCCTCTGGCGGACGCTCGACGATCTGGGCAAGCCGGGGACGCTCTCGGCGAGGCGCAGCTGCTGGAAGGCACCCAGAAATTGGAAAACCTACACGGACCGAAGAGAAAGGGCAGACACGGTGATTTATTTGGACTCGGCTTGGCCGCAGTCCCTGCGGATGGAGCCTCACTCAATGCAGATACCTGTAGCACACGCTTCGCCTGAAAACTGGGCTTCCGCATTGGAACAGATCGCCGGCCCCCTGCAAAGCGGCGAACACAGCAAGTGCCAGCCAGAGCCTCGACACTTCGGTGAAGCAAAAAATGCTGCCAACATAACCTCGAGGATTCGGGGCCTCCCTGGGTCCTCCCTGGGTCCTCGCCTGCTCCCGATCGCCGCACCGCGCGGGGCGGAGGCAGGAACCAGGAAGAGCTGCACCACCACCACAAACAGCGCGAGGAGACCCCCGCCCGAGGACACTCCCTATCCACAGCTCGGGGAGGCATCGTGGACCTGCTCGGTTCGAGGAGGAAACATCGTCATAAATACTGTCAGAATTCCACGAGATTTTCTTGAACCTGCGCTGGGGCCCCCTGGCGGCACCTCCGGCACCGCCCCTGGCGCGCTCCACGCCCTAGTGGAGGGGGCTCCAGCGCAGGTCCAAGAAATCCGCGCGGAGCTCCGAAATTCGTGTTTATGCAGTCTATCTTTTTTTCGATCGGTGGAAGTAGCACCCCTGGTGGTAGTGGTGTCGCTTTGGCACGCCCGACATGGGTATCGAGAGCAGGGCTACGATGCCCAACAGGAGATGCTGCTCAAAACTGACAGCGGTTGCTGTTGGGCAGGCGACTGTCTGTCTCAGGTGGACGACGCCCACGGTAACCCAGACAACAAATCCAATTCAACATGGCCCATCGCGGATCCAAGAAATCCGCGCGGAGCGCCAAAAGTTGATGGTCATGCCGATCTTTCTTCTTCAAAAGAACTGCTGTTAATCTTCGTCCAATTCTGTCCATACTGGTCTCGGCCGTACGGTGATCGCTACTGCCTCTGTTCCCTCCTTCCGGGTGCACGGTTTCCCCCGGGGCCGTAGGCGACCCGAGGAGGAGGAGGGGTAGGAGGAGGAGCAGGGGGAGGGGGAGGAGGATATGGAGGAGGAGGAGAGGAGGAGGAGGAGAGGAGGGAGGTGAGGAGGAGGAGGGAGGGGGAGGAGGAGGGGAGGAGGAGGTCGCCCTTCGGAGCAACCCTCCATTTCCGAGGGCCTGTCTGGCACCGACGGCAGGGTGCTGAAGTGGCCGAGGTCGCTCGGCCTGCCCTCGCCGGACGCGTTGGCGCCAGCCACCTGGGTCAGCGCCTCCTCCTCCTCCTCCTCCTCCTCCTCCTCCTCCTCCTCCTCCTCCTCCCCTCCTCTCCCCCTCCCTACCCCTCCTCCATCTCCTCCTCCTCCTCCTCCTTCTCCTCCCCAGCCATCCCTCCAGGGCTGGGTCTGCAGGCTGGGCGACTCTGCAGGGTGGAAGAGAGGGGGTGTCCTCCTCCTCTTTCTCCCCCCTCTCCCCCTCCCTACCCCTCCCTCCTCCATATCCTACTCCTCCTCCTCCTCCTTCTCCTCCTCCATGTCCGCCCCTCTCTCCTCCGATCCTCCACACTAATTCAAGAATCACAAATCATGAATACTTCTCTCATCTCTCCCCTGACTCTTGGGGGGGTGATGTCGAAGTGGAGCGGAAAGCCCCCCACGCGGAAATCGGCTTCGGTTTCGGATTCGTGTCATGCGTGCGGGCGAGGCCAAGCTGCGAGGGCGGGCGAGAGGAATACTCCGCTGTGGTTAGGGCGGCCCCTCCGGTGTGCCGGCGTGGCCAGGGGTGTCCCGCCTTGGTGTCCCGCCAGGTGTCCCGTCGGTGTCCCGTCGGTGTCCCGCCTTGGTGTCCCGTCGGGGTCCCGCCGTCGGTGTCCCGCCGTCGGTGTCCCGTCGGTGTCCCGCCTTGATGTCCCGTCGGTGTCCCGTCGGTGACTCGTCGGTGTCTCGTTGGTGTCCCGTCGGTGTCCCGTCGGTGTCCTGTCGGTGTCCCGCCTTGGTGTCCCGTCGGCGGCCCATTGCCATCATGCATTGTCGTCAGCATCGTCGTCTTGCCTCGTCGCCAACTCGTGAGCGCATCACCATTTATCGCCACCATCACAATCATCGAAATTGTCCTCAGCTTGTTCTTTACATAGCGCGAGCGCGCCTAGTCTGATCGGAGGTGAAGATGTGAGGTCGCAGTGAAAAGGAGAGCCCCCCACCGGGACATCGGTTTCGGTTTCGTGTTCGTGTCGTGCGTGCGGACAAGGCGAAGCTGCGTGGGCGGGCAAGAGGCATGAACCCGCCTCTGACAACGGCGCCGCCGAGCCAAAAAACCGGCCCTCCCCCCAATGGTTGGCCCGCGGTGGCCGGGGGTATCCCGCCGTGTCCCGTTCGTGTCCGGCGGTGTCCCGTGGTGTCCCGTGGTGTCTCGTGGCGCGGTGTCCCGTGGTGTCCCGTGAAAATGAGATTGAGATCGACAGTGAGATTAATAGTGATATCGATTGTGGGACCGATTGGGATATCGATTGCGAGATCGATCGTGAGAACGATAATGCAACCGATAATGCGATCCACGGTGAGATCGATTGTGACATCGATTGTGAGGTCGATAATGAGAGGGATAATGACCTCGATTGTGAGATCCATGGTAAAACCGATTGTGAGATCGATCGATCGTGAGATCGATAGTGGGAGCGATAGTGGGGTTGACAGTGAGATCGATAGTGAGATCGATCGTGAGATCGATTATGAGGTCGATAGTGACAAGAATAGTGAGATCGCTTGTGAGCTCAATCTAGTGAAATCGATTGTGACATAGATAGTGAGGTCGATAGTGAGATGTATTGTAAGATCGATAGTGGGATCGATAGAGAGACCGATCGTGATATCGATAGTGAGACCAATCGTGGGACCGATCGTGGACTCGATAGTGCGATCGACAGTGAGATAGATCGTGGTATCGATTGTGAGATCGATTGAGAGATCGACAGTGAGAGGGATAATGAGATCAATACTGAGACATCGATAGTGAGCTCGCTGGTGAGATCAACTGTGACACCGACAGTGAAATCAATTGTGGGATCGATGGTGGGATCGATAATGAGAGGGATAGTGATATGGATGTTGTCATCGATCGTGTTCGATTGTGATATCGGTAGTGAGCTCGATGGTGAGATTGATTGTGAGACCGATCATGGGATCGATGCAGTACTGCAATCGATTGAATAAAACGTTGGTTCCCGCCCCCCGAACCTCCTTATCACCTGAAAGGGTTGTCGTTAGTGCGAATGCTACACTCCTTTCTCCCCTGACTCTGTGCGGAAGATGTCCCGGCCCAAGATGCCCCAAAGAGGCCTCAAAGTGGCTTCCAAGATGGCCCAAAGTACTTCAAGATGGTTCAACGTAGCTTCGGACATCTCTCCAAGATACTCAACGGCAGCCCTCGGACAGTTCCAAACGCCCTCCGAAACTTCCAAGGCACCCCCCAAGAGGCCGAACTCCTCCCAAAACAAATGGGGACACACTTACAATTTCTGTCTCGCCTTTTCGATGCCGACAGGCCTCTGAGGCCTCATGCCACAGCATCCCCTCCCCCAAGAAGGGCCAAGAAGCCCTCGAGACGGCTCCAAGGGGGCTCCAAAAGCCAACTGTTCTGCCTTCGAGGGTGCGGGGCTAGCCCCCCCGCCCCTCTGGTTTTGCTTTTTTGTTTCTGCCATGCCGCCCAAGATCGCCCCGAAGGAGTACATCAACGAGCCCCGAGGACACATGGGGGCCACCAACCTTCTAACGTGGCGTCGCTATGGCTCCAAGAGCCCTTCAAATTGACATCCACGCGGCCCCGCAAAGGCTCGCGGAGCAAAACTTCTGCGAAGGAGTATGCTTGACTCGTCGTTGCCGCCGTGACCTTCAACTCGTCTGGGCATCGTGCCTGGACAGGCTAGTGGGGATACTTGTTTGTTCGCGAGCGCGCGCCGTCAGGAAGATCCAGCGAAGACCAAATTACAGCGGCGAGGAACGAGGTCAGGCGCGCGCAGCGGGTGAGCAGCCGAAAATTGCAAGCTACGCACCTGGGCTCAACCACCGCTCAAGAATCGAAGACAACCGAGCCCGAGTGTCGAAGGGATAAGCCTAGTGGGGATACGTGTTGCGCGTAGAATGTTGTTCCCGACCATCCTGTAGTGTTGGGTCCTCGTTTCATTGAAGTGACAGCGCCCCGCGTCTCCTCCACCTCCTCTCCTCTCCCCCCTCCTCCGCATGTCCATTTCGGCACACCGCTCAACCGTTTCGTGTCCCCAATTGGAGCTCCACCGATGGCCGCAGTGGCGCAGTCCGCATTCCCACACCCATTACGGCACACCCCTCTCACGATTCGTGGCCCCATAGGGAGCTCCACCGAAAGCCCCAAGGGCGGAGTCCGCATGCGTCTCCCCCATCCATTACGGCACACCCCTCTCACGGCTCGTGGCCCCATAAGGAGCTCCACTGGAGGCACTAATTTCGTAGTCCGCATGTGCCTCCCGCGTCCATTTCGGCACACCGCTCGCACGGTTCTTGGCCCCATAGGGAACTCCACCGAAAGCCCCAGTGGCGCAGTCCGCATGGCCCCCCCCCCCACCCAGTCCAGCGTTTCGTGGCCGCACAGGGAGCTCCACCGAAGGCCAGAGTGACCGCGGCCGCATGCGTCTCCCCCACCCAGCACAGCGCTTCGTGGCCCCCAGAGGGAGCTCCACCGAATGGCCCAGTGACAGCGGCCTCATGCGCCCCCCCAAGTCCAGTACAGCGTTTTGTGGCCCAGAGCTCCACCGCGGCCGCATGCGTCTCCCCCGCCCAGGTGCAGTTTTTCGTGGCCGCGCAGGGAGCTCCACCGACGGCCCCGGTGGCCGCGGCCGCATGCGTCTCCCCCGCCCAGGTCAAGCGCTTCATGGCCCCCAGAGGGAGCTCCACCGCATACTCGAGCGGCCGCGGCGCATGCCCCCCCCCCCCCCGCCCAGTACAGCGCTTCGTGGCCCCAGAAGGGGGGCTCCACCGAAGACCCCACGGGGCCGCAGCCGCATATGCGACTCCCCACCCATTACTACATACCCGTCACGCGATTTGTGACCCCAGAGGGAACTCCACCGAAACAGGGACCCACAACGCGGGACTCACAACTGCACATGGCTGGGTCCTTCGCCAGGCTGCACAGGATTCCATCTATTTTATGTTGCATTCCGTTTGGCTTTGGACCTTCAAAATGGCTCTGCCGATGCAGCGTGGGCCTCATGCTAGGATCGGCGCTTTGCTCCCGCCGTTCAGCATGACACGCTCGCACCAGCGCGGGCCGCTTTTCTGGATCCGAGTCCTTCCTCATCGTTGTCGCCCCCGTCCTTCTCTCTCCTCCGCCTTCCCCTGGTCCCCAGGCTCCTCCCGGCTCCTGCTGCTGCTGTTCGTTCTCGTCCTCCTCCTTCCTGATCCTCCTCCTTTTCCTCGTGCTCATCCGCCTCCTCCCTCTCCAATGTGCGCAACTCTCATTTTCCGATTGCGCATAATTGAATGGGATTCTTTTTAGAGGTCGAGGTCCGCTATGACACGCGTCGGCGGATATCGAGGACAAAGCAGCGCAATGCGAAGGGAAAGGTGGGAGAGGTAGGATGTTAGATACGGCGCGAACGCACCTGGCTTGTCCTCCCGTCTCTTCCTCCTCCGCTCCTACTCCCCTCCTCCTCCTCCTCCTCTTCCTCCTCCTCCTCCTCCTCCTCCTCCTCCTCCTCCTCCTCCTCCTCCTCCTCCTCCTCCCCCTCGTCCTCGTCCTCCTCCTCCTCTTTCTCCTCATCCTCCTCTATCCCTTGCCCTTATGAACAACTCCTCCCTGTCGCACCCCCGGACATTTCGGTAAGGCAGGCCGAACGTTTTGCTTGAGACTTACATGCCACGTATGACACTGAAGCCTGAACTTTGCAACACCTTCTCGTCTGGGTGGCGGGTCATGATCAAAATGTGGCTCTCGCCTTAGTGCCGCGAGCACTCGTCTGACAAGCTTGCAACAATGTCACGGATGGAGGGCGGGTGCTTTTCAAAATGTGGCTTCTGTCTTTGCTCCGCGCACGTTCGTTTTAATAAACGTGTAATAACTTCATGGATGGAGGGCGGGTGTTTTCATGTTTAATGTGACTCCCGCCGTATCGCCGCGCACATTCGTCTTAACAGTCTGCACCAGTTTCACGGATTGATGGTGGGTAGTTTTCAAAATGTGGCTCTCGCCTTCGCGCCTCGCATAATCATCTTGACACTTTGCAGCCGTTTCACAGATGGATGGCGGTTTCTTTCAAAATGTGGCTCTCGCCTCTGCGCCGCGTGCACTCGTGTTAAAAAGCCGACACAAGCTTCAACTGCTAGTATGGCTGACGTCCCAGGAAAAGTTATTGGCACGACTTCTGATTGCCAGGACGGAACCGTCACGTCGACTCTCGGCGATTCAATCCCAGGAGTGGCGCTCAAGTCCCAAGCATGGTGATTGGTGCGGCGGAGGATTGTCGTGCGATTGTCTTCCAATGGGGCACTTTCCTCAATCTAAACAAGCTTTTGCAAGGACCTGTGAAGCGGGAGCTGGGAGGGAGGGTGGATCGCAACATCTTTGATGCATCTCGGGTGGACCTCCTCCTCCTCCTCCTCCTCCTCCTCCTCCTCCCCCTCCTCCCCCCCCCTCCTCCTCCTCCTCCTCCTCCTCCTCCTCCTCCTCCTCCTCCTCCTCCTCCCTCCTCCTCCTCTCCTCCTCCTCCTCCTCCTCCTCCTCCTCCTCCTCCTCCTCCTCCTCCTCCTCTCCTCCTCCTCCTCCTCCTCCTCCTCCTCCTCTCCTCCTCCTCCTCCTCCTCCTCCCTCCTCCTCCTCCTCCTCCTCCTCCTCCTCCTCCTCTCCTCCTCCTCCTCCCCTCCTCCTCCTCCTCCTCCTCCTCCTCCTCCTCCTCCTCCTCCTCCTCCTCCTCCCCTCTCGTGGTACATAGCTCCTCCCTGTCGCACCCCCCGGGCGTGCCGGCAGGGCGACCCAGAACCTCATGCCCGTGGCTCCAGCCCTCCTCCCCGCCGAGCGCTCTGCTCCGATGCTGGCCTCTGTTCTCGGGGGCGCGTCCAGGGAGGGGGGCGGGGGCGAAGAGGGGGGGGGGGGGGGTGGGGCAAATCATGGCCAGCGGCACGTGCGCGGCCCAGGGTTGGGGGCCAGGGACGTATGGAAACGAGAAGGGGCGCCCTGAGATCTGGGGAGGTATCGTGGCCCCCGCCATCATCTCCACACCCTCGTTGCCGCCCCCGATGTTCCCGTCGCCCGCTGCTGGGGCCTCGCCCACGCCCCGGGCCCGCACCTCCACCCCTGGCTGTTCTTCGACGGTCCCCGGGGCCCGGGGGCGGGCCCCCGGGCGCCAGCATCTGGAGGCCGACAACACGACGAGAAAAGCTGGCCGTCACGCTCGTCCCCGACGAGCGCTTGTCTGTAAGGGTCTGATGCCATGCGTCCAACGCCCAGGGAGTGTGCTGGGCCCCCGAGATCGGCGGCCCGTCGTGCCCCGTCGTGTCCCGCCTAGAACTGCTGTCCCATCGATCGTGCCCCCCCCTCGGCATACTCTGGGTTTCTGACCGATCGTGGGGGGGGGGCCCCCCCAACGGGGGACAACCTCGCCTCGTCGTCGCGCCGCGACGGAGGTCGGAGCGCCTTTGGCTCGCGGTGGCTGCCCGCGAAGGGGGTCGATGTGGGGCTGTCGGCGGGGGAGACGCCCCCCCGACGCTTACGTAAGAAACTCGGAGTAGCTGTGTAGAGCTGTTCCAGCTCTTCTGCCGCAAGTATGTTATTTGTTTGCGTCGCAGGCGCTTGAGAGCTCCTCAAGGGGGGTCCCCGGAAACCCGATCACTTCCCCAAGGCCCGCTGGTCATCCTGGGTTGCTGTTGTTTTGACGCCCACGTGTCCCGAATCAGGACCCCAGAGAACGACACCTGCCAAAATCCTTCCGCCGATATTGTATGCACGACGCGAAGATGTCTGCTTTCCTCCTCCTTGGGTGTCTGTTCCATGGAAGACTACGTGGCCCCTGGCGCTGTCCGAGTTGGGCCTGATTTGGACCTGATTTGGAACACATCTGGGGTCAGATTTGGACTGGATTCGCCCCTTCACAAGGAAGACTGGAAGGACGAGGAGGGGGAGGATGAACAGGAGGGGCGAGGAGAAGCCGGAGGAAGGGCCAAACGCAGTCCGACTGCGGTCCAAATGCAGGAAGAGCTGATTTCAATGTCGCCGCCCAAGGCCCCCATGAACAGACATCGAACCTCTCCTCTCGTCCCCCCAGTGGAGAGCTTCACGCGAATGCCCCCAGGCCGCCCAGAAGGCGTAGCGCGACCCGGGCAGGAGGCCCGACACCTCTCAGGGCGGCGCCACACAAGGACGGACCGGACTGGACTGGACTGGGCTGGACGGACGACGACGGCGACGACAACGAACGAAGACGATGCACGACGACGACGGACCACGACAACGACAACGACGACGACGACGACGACGACGACGACGACGACGACGACGACGACGACGACGACGACGACGGCGGCGGCGGCGGCGGCGGCGACGACGAGAATGACGGCGACGGCGACGAGGACCACGATCACGACGACGAGGACGAGGACGAGGACGAGGACGATGATGACGACAACTAAAACGAACACGACAAACGATGTCACGACGACGAAGACGGACAAAACTCGGACAACGGGCGACGGCGGCACGACGGCTCCCTCCGGCTGCGTCTTCTCCTCCTCCTTCTCCTCCGTTGCCCTGACATTGCGAAGCCTTTGCGTCCGTCCTCCTCCTTCTTCTCCGCCTCCTGTTACGCTTCCCTTCCCCCCCTGCCATCCCCCTCCTCCCCGACGAAGACTCAGCATGGAGGGAGGCGGGTCCAGGAGGGAAAAGGGTCCTGGAGGTCTTTCATCGTTCTCGGCCCCCCTCGAAGGCCATCCGAGGGCCTCGGGGGCCGTCGAACACCACGGCTCGGGATCGAGAGCTTCGGCGGCGGGCGAGGGGGGGGGAAGTGAGAAGGAGAAGGGGTTCTCAGAAGGCGGCGGGACTTCTCAGAAGCCATCGCGCTTTCTGAGAAGTCTTCTGTGTCTGGAGGGGAGAGCTCGGAAAACCTCTCAGAAGGCACGGGGGACTTCCGAGCCTCATGAGATGGCCCGCCCCTTCTCACTTACCCCCCTTGGCTCGCCGCCAAGAACTGGTCCTCGAGAAGGTCCTGGACTCGTCCCTTCTTGACGAGAAGAGACGGGCAGAGGACGACGGCGACGGCTGGCGCCGAGGGTTGCAGGGCGGTGTGGTATGAACATGTTCCTAGAAACCTCGCGCGGTAACTTGAGACCCGACTTACTTCGAACCCATATCGGATTTACGTCGGCTTCACGTCGGACTACGTCGGATTTACGTCGGACTGACGCCGGAGCATCGCCGCGCGAGCGTCGACCTATAGCTTACGGAGCTGACGTGTGGACTCGATTATACAACTGTTACACGCCGCGCGAGGCCTCCATGATTTTCCTCATAAGGTGTGGTAAGGGGGGGCGCGAGAAGTACTCCAACGAAGACGCCAAGGTGCAATCCGACAACTTTCCCAAATCTCCTCGGCCCTGCAATGTGAGCATGGGGCCACCGGGTCACGCTGCGCGGCGCGCCTGGCCGTCGAATCAGGAATACTTCGAACACGTCATGGGGGAGAGGCGGAGGGAAAGAGAGAGCCCCTCCAAGACTCAGCCACCGAGTAGGGAATCGACTACAGAGTTGATTTACCCCAAAATTGATTTGTTCGTCGAATACATGAAAAATGCGTCGAATGTGAGCAGCTCGACGATAAGTCCACGTATTACTCGACGAGAAAGCAACAAACAATTTCGGGGTAAACGAATTCTGCAGTCGATCCCCTACTCGAAATCAACACGGCCGATTTCACGATCGGAGGGGTGAGAGAACCAGGCCAGCTCGCGCATCTTTGGCGGTACCCGCTCCAAGACCCCTTGGGCGTCCCCTGCAGGCACTGGGCGGACGATCGTTCAACCGGGGCCTCTGGCCGGGGAGCCGCTTCTCCGAACCCTGAGAGAAGCCGCGAGCAACGGCCCGCGGCGAAGGGCGTGCTCCCGAGGACGGGGTCGAAAGCTCGCCAGCAGGCCCACGCCGTGGAAACTCAGCCGCCCCGATGCGCAGCACGCAAAACCCCACGCTCGTCAGAACGTGGACCCACGCGTGCCGAGCCGACACGCGGCGTGCGAGCACGGACGTCCTGAGCACGGCACGCGTTGCGTCTCGGCACGGGCCCATCCGGGCTGCGGCGGTGCAGGCGCATCCTGGGCCGCCCAGCTTCGCGCCCGCGCGCCCCCCTTCGGTGCGTGAGCCCCTCGGCGCCGCTGCGCCCTCGCGCCGCCTCCCCGGCGCAGGGTGACCGCTCTGGCCCGCAACCGCGACGCGCGCAGCGCGGTGGCCTCCTCTAAAGCGCCCCCGCGGGTGGCCCGGACGTCCGTGCCCACGCCCTCGCGGCCGGGCACTCCCTCGGCCGCTGCCCTCGTGGGCACGGGTGCTTCGCGCCCCGCCGCCGCTCGGCGGCGGGGTGGACGACGGAGCTGGGGCGAAGACTGCCTGGGGTACGGCGAAGTCGAGGATCTATGAGATCCAGCGGCTCTGGCTCTGGAGGATGTCTCGGGCGCCGCGGCCTTCTCGGAGGGTTTCCGGAACGCTCTGGAACGGATGTATCCTCGTCCTAGCCCCGTCCGAGGGTGCTCCGCGCGGGAGACGGGGTCATCGGGATCCCACGGGGTGGCGGTTGGACCGCGAGGGCACGCGTTACTAGAGGCCTCCCAAATTGGGGTCGGAACAGATGGTGTCGGAGAAGCGCGCCGCATCGCCGATGCATCACCGATGAATCGGCGATGCATCCGCGACGTCGGCAATGCATCGGTGACGTCGGCGTGCAGAAAATCGGGTTCCACATCGAGCCGCTTTGCCGATGCATTGGCGATGCGGTGCGATCCTCCGACCCCGTTACTCAGACCCCATCTGGGAGGCCTACAGTTGCGGCTCGTCGCCGGTGTGGCCAGTGTGGTCAGTATGGTCGAGGCCGCCCCCCTCCCTGGGGCACAGCGCCCAAGCGCGCGGGGGGAGGGGCCTCAGAAGAGATCGGGGCCGCATTCAGACCTCAGGCGTGCTCGTTCTATGATTGAGTCGGCTCCGGGGATGATGAGGAAGAGAGCATGGAGGAGAACGTCGAGGAGGATTACGATGACGACGACGGCCCTTCGGACCGCCCGCCTCCCTTGCCTCCACGATCCTCCTCGATCATCCTCGACTCTCACCCTCGATCCCTCTCAGCCATCCTTCTGCTCCCCCTCCTCGATACTCCCCTTGCTCGACTTCTCCTCCTTCTCCTTCTCCTGCTCCCCCTTCTCCTCCTCCTCCTCCTCCTCCTCCTCTTCCTCTTCTTCCTCCTCATCGATCCTCTTCCACCCCCCCATGGAACTGTCAACGGGCGCGGTTACGACCAGACCTTCGATGTAAACCCAGCCTTGGCGACGAAGAGCCAACCCGAAAGCTTCCAAAACAGTTCAGGACACCTCCCCCCCCGAAGCTTCGAAGCCTCAGCGCCCGGAAGGCCTGAGGACTGCCCAGCCTCGTTCTCAGGGAGTCCCCCCCAGGACATCCGGCGGCGATTTGTTTGCTGTGGCCCCCCGAAACCCCGACCTCTCGATCGTTTCCCTGTGGCAGGCTTTCTCATCCCGAGCCGTCCTGCTTGGCTTGGGAGCCAGAGCGGCATAATTTGCAAGCTCTCGGATGTCCGCGCGGATTTCTTGGGTCGGCCCTAGACGCCCTCTCCTGGCGCGCGGAGCACGACATCCCGGAGGGCCCCAGACGGCCTAAGAGCACCCCATGACGGCTTAAGGGGCTCCCAAGAGGCCCCCAGCAGGCCCCCAGGAGGCCTCAAGAGGCCCCAAAACGGCCCCCCAGGGGCTTCAAAAACTGCCTCCAAGATGCCACCGAGAGGTCCCCCACGAGATCTCAAAAAAACATCAAACAGGCTTCATAGCCACAACCTAGGCACGGTTGCGGTATGGGGCGAAGGTCATTCGATAAGAAGTACATCGTCGGTGTATTCTGGCAGCTGCGTTTGCGGGGTTGCGCTGCTCTCCAGGTAGGTTTCTCATCGGGAGTGTACTCCTGCGTTTCAATACCAAAAAGGACCATATCTAGAATTGAACGACAGTGCTCGAGACAATGGTCATACCCAATAGCTGCAATCAACTCCTCGTGATTCGCATCTGCTTCCGAGTGTTGCTCAGCCAATGTGGTTTGAATATCCTCGTGGGAATCCTGCGTCGTAGCTTTTGGATCGACATGCCGCGAACAAAACTTGTTTCCGCCCTGTGTGGGATTTCTCATTGACATGCAATGCCTGGGTGCGTCGAGTAAGTTTTGCCCTTCGCAAGCAATTCACAGCAATGATTGTATCTCATGCGTCGTAACCCTTCGTCTTGAAGAAACGCGTGGCCGATTACTGCATCAAATGCCGAATCAATCAACTTGCCTTGCTCGGATTCCTGGATTCCGTGAGCCTCCTTTTGATCCACCGTGGGGCCTTCTTTGGGGACTGTGCCAATGCAGACCCCATCCTGAACAAGACACACATCACCACTCGCATTGGCACTTGCATTGGCGCTTCTCGTCGCCGATTCTTCAGGGCCTGGGCGCTGCGACCACCCGCCCATAGTCAGTACAGCCAACTGCCTGAGTGGGCCATCGTCCATGGCGCTGGCAGGTATGATGTCCCCTCGTAGGTCTGCTGCTGCTTAAGTCGTCACCCAACGGTCTTCTCGTCTCTCTCACCCTCCATTTGGCTTCGGTAGCCCGCCATTCGACCAACCGGCCGACGACGAGGATGCTGCTGCTGATGATGATGGTGTAGAATGGAGACTGAGGCGGACGGGTGCCCGCCTTGCCGCCGCGGCGGCAGCTCTCCGCCACGGCTTCGCAGCTCAGAGCTCGGAGTACCCGTACTCGGTGCCAACTACTATCCCCGACGGGCGGGACTGGCGGCAATGACGATGACGATGATGACCAATGATGATGATGATAATGGTGATGGTGATGCTGATGAGGTTGATGATGGTGATGGCGATGACGATGAAGAGGGCGAGGAAGTAGATGATGGTGTTACTGATGATAATGACGATGACGATGCTGATGATGACGATGCCGATGATGATGACGACGATGATGAGGATGATGATGACGATCAGGATAAAGATGATGATGCTGATCATGATGACGGTGATGATGCTGTTGTTTATGTCGATGAACATGACTGGTAGTACGATGATGACGATGGCGAAGACGATGATGATAAAGATGATGATGCTGCTGATGGTAATGATGATGACAGTGATGAGGTTTATGATGTTGTTGATGTTGTTGACAATAAAGTTACTGAAGATTGACGAACGAGCAGCGCACACCCATACCAATAGGGGGGTCCTTGCGAGGAGGACTGGCTATGGGTATGGGTGCGGGTTGTCGGACCCTGGGGAACGCTCCCGTTCGAGCGGGGACCCCCATCCGACAACACGCACCCATAGCCCTCTCCGACCCCCCTATGGGTATGGGTATGTGTTGTCGGTTCGTCAAACATGATGATGATGGTGATGACGCTGTTAATGCTGGTGACGATTATGATGGTCATTATGATGATGACGATGCTGATGCTGCTGCTGATTATGACGGCGATGCTGAGGTTGATTATGTTGTTGACGATGGTGATGCTGGATCTGATGATGCTGATGATGAGGCTGATGCTGATGATGATGCTGCCGATGATGATGACGATGACGATGACGATGACGATGACGATGACGATGATGATGATGATGATGATGATGACGACGACGATGATGATGATGATGATGATGATGATGATGATGATGATGATGAAGATGATGATGATGAAATGATGATGAAATGATGATGACCGGGCCGCCGGAGGTCTGGGCCGCCGCCGGCGGAGCGGAGGAGCCTCGGCGCCCTCTGGCCGAGCGTCGCGAAGCTCGCCCGCCGGCTGGGCCAGCCGGGGGTCGCCCTCAGAGGCAGGCGGCGGCCTGCCAGGCGGCGAGCGACGATGACGATGTCGGCGAGGCGACGAGCGAGGAGCGACGAGGACGGCGTCGACGACGAGGACGACGTCGAAGAGGCTACGAGGACGAGGTCGGCGTCCACTGTAGAGGCCTCCTATATGGGGTCGGTGTTATTGGTGTCGGAGGATCGCTGCGCATCGCCGATGCATCGGCGATGCAATGGCGACGTCAGCGATACATCGGCGCGTCGCTGATGCGTCGGCGATGCGGTGCGATCCTCCGACCCCATCTGCTCGGACCCCATCTGGGAGGCCTAGACAGGAGGCTCCAGCACCGTAAGCGGCGGAGGCAAGCAGCAAAGAAGACACTGTCGGCGACTGCTTCTACAAACGACGAGCCTAGACATCCTCGCGTCGCTGACGAATCACAAGCGGATGTTTCGCTATTTTCGGCTTCTAGGGGCCCTCGCCGGGCCTCGGGGCCGTCAAAGAACGACTCGGCATGAAAAAGAAGCCCTGAGGAAAGGGTCGTGGCTTCTTGGGGCCCTGTCTTGAGATAGCAAGACACAAGACATCGGATGTCTTGGGAATGACGGACGACGACGGCGACTGAGGCGGCAACGACGGAGGAGACGAGCGACGTGAACGACGGCGAGGGCCGCGGCGACGACTACTGCTACGACGACGAGGGCGGCGAACGACGAGAACGGCGACCACGACGACGACGACGACGGCGCACGAGGACGAGGACGATAAGGGCAGAGGCGACGAACGACGAGGGCAACGAACGACGAGAACGTCGACGACGACGGCGACGGCGACGACGACGGTTCCGACGACGCGACGTTCGCGTCGCCGCCGCCGCCGCCGTTTGCGCCGCTGCCGCCGCTCGGAGACGACGCGAGCAGCGGCGAAGGCGACGGCCAGCCAGCGAGCGCACCTCCCCGCAGGGGTTGGAGAACGCTTCGCAGCGGAATCGCGAGGGGGAAGGGGGGACTGCGCGCCCATAAGAGGGGAGAGAGAAAGAGAGAGAGAGAGAGAGAGAAAAAAAAAAAGAGAGACAGAGAGAGAGAGAGAGAGAAAGAGGTCATCCAAACTCCCTAGGGGGTCCATCGGAAAGGACCTCTTTGTCACCGCGGGTGGTTGGGGCTAGGACACCCGCCGGCCAGCGACAGGACCCCACCAGGGGATCCATGGTGAGGATCATGCTTGTTGTGCTGAAGTGGGGATCCGTGATGAGGATTATACTTGTTGCGTTTCTTGTTGTTTGTTTGTTTGTTTGTTTGTTTGCTTGCTTGTTTGTTTGTTTGTTTGTTTGTTTGTTTGTTTGTTTGTTTGTTTGTTGTCGTCGTCCCACCCGCGACCCACCCGCGACCCACCCCGCGACCCACCCCGCGACCCACCCGAGACCCACCCCGCGACCCGCCACGCCACCCGCAACCCAACTCGCGACCCAACCCGCGACCCACCCCGCGACCCACCCGCGACCCACCCGCGACCCACCCGCGACCCATCCGCGACCCACCCGCGACCCACCCGCGACACACTTGCGACCCAGCCGCGACCCAGCCGCGACCCAGCCGCGACCCAACAGCGACCCACCCGCGACCCACCCGCGACCTGCCCATATTGGTGTGACGAAAAAATCGGCGCCTGCGCTGGGTTCGTTGTAGAATTTGAGGACTTTGGCGCCCGCGGCGAGCTTGTCCAGAGTCTCGCAGACTGCCGACGTCCCCACCGCCCCCTCACTCTTATCCGCATCTGCGGGGTGCTATGGTACACCTTCCTCTTTTGAGACAGTGTCGAAATGCGGCTCCTGGGCTTGCAAGGCATGGGGATGCAACCCGAAGCGGCTGGCTGCTGCTCCAGGGGGCCACGGGGGGTTGGCTGTGCCCGGTGGGGGGGGGTGGCAACACCTCTCAACGATGTGCTCTAGACCAAACTTCACACTTGGGGGGCGTTCCCACATCGGTGCTTCGGTGCGCATCGTAAGCGCGCCTCGGCTCCGTCGTCGTGGTCGTGGTCGTGGTGTGTGCTGCTCTGCCTGGGACTTGTTTCCCTCATACAATGACCACAACCACTCCTCTCCGTCCTCCTCTCCTTCCCGCACTCCCTCCCCGCACGCCCAAGCGTCGGGAGAAAGCAGCAACACGATCGACGTTTCTGGCCCACTTGCAGGCCTCGAGACTGTGATTGCGGAAGGCAGACTCGAAGGGTCTCGTCGTACTTTTTGGGTTTCACGCTGCCGCTTATCTGGCATGGGCGTTGTTAATTACTGCTGCTCGCCCATCTCGATCATGGCCCTGCAAAAAACAGCTGGGCTTGAGCGCTTTCACCGAACGTGCGCATGCAGTCCGTGCAGAGTCTCCCCCGCTGTCATGCGGCTCGCACGTGCTGCACATCGCCGAGGGGGTGTAACAATTGTTTGTGTGTGTGCGTGTATGTGTGTGTGTGTGTGCGTGTGTGTGTGTGTGTGCGTGTGTGTATGTGTGTGGTGTGTGTGTGTGTGGGTAAGCGCGTGTTCTGAGCGCTTCGCCTGCCCAGAGTCCCCTCTCCGCGGCCGTCCCCGTCTTCCCCCCTCTCTGTAGTGCAGGACTCGCCATGTTGCGACCCGACCACGGCTCTCCCGCGCCGCGTGCTCGCCGGCACCGCGAGCAAAAAGACGTACTGTTGGATCTGCCCGCTTGCCGCTCAACTTTCTGGCGCCCGCTCAAAGCTTCTCTCGAGACGGACTGTGAATCTGCCGCGCAGCCTCGCAAAGGGGCAGATTCGGTATGCGCGTGCCCCGCCTTACCTTGCTCACCGTCGGCTTGAACCATCGGCGGGTCAGTGGAAGAGTGTGTGTGTGTGTCCGTTTTTTTCTCAGACTTTGTCGGCGTCCTCCTCATCGCTCGGTTAGTTGACTTCGCGCTGTCGCGCCGCGGGAGGAAGCGAAGTACTCATCGCGTCCTCTTCTCTCTCGAAAAGGAAGACCTGCCATAGAAGAACCCTTCTGGGGTCTGCGCAGTTTTCTTGGATCGGCGCTGGACCTCCCTTTTGGCAATTCCCGCGCCGCCCCTGGCGCTCTCCGCGCGACAGGGAGGGAGGTCCAATGCCGACCAGAGAAATCCTAGCGGCCATCTCACGTTTTTTTCTTATTTCGGGCGCGCACCGTCTGACCCCTTCCGTGACGAGTCCCTTCCGCGACGACTCCCTCATCAGGGACGCACCGGCCCTGGTCAGTGCAAACCTGGGTCAGTCAGGCTTCGCAAGATCCTGCAAGATCCCACAGGGATCCTGCAGGATCCTGCGCGCTAGCCCGGGTCAGTGCAACCCTGGCTCTGCAGGACCCCGCAAGATCCGGCGCTCTGGCTGACCCCGTTCTGCATTGACCTTTCCCTCGATGCCCAAAGCCTGCAAAGAGGCGGAGGCGGAGGCGGAGGAGGAGGAGGAGGAGGAGGAGGAGGAGGCTGACCGCATGCCCGCGTCTTTGCGCGCGGCGGTGAGGTCATCACAGAAGGGCCTCGGCCTGCGGGGGGTCGGCTGGGCCGCCCCTGGCTCTTCGACTGGACTCCTCCTCCTCCCCAAGACGAACCCAGGACGAGGATGAATCGGGTGAGGAAAATCGAGAATCTCTGGGATCCGGCGGCTCTGGACGATGTCTCGGGCGCTGCGTCCCTCTCAGAGCGTTCTGGGACGCTCCGGGACCGATTTCTCCTCGTCCTGGCCCCGTCCGATCCGTCCGCCCTCTCGGCGCTGGCCTGCCTGCGCGTCCCCTCGATGGGGCCCTCCTCCAGGTACCGGACCGTGTAGGTCTGGACCAGGTTGCAGTTGCGGGCGCCCATGTCCGCGGGCGGCACAAAGCCCAAGGTTATCGACGTGGCCGACCTAAGGACCACGCAGGCACAACTTCGTGCGTCCGACGACGACAGATCTCTGGCCAATACATCCTACGGCTCGACCTGCTCGAGTCGTAGCCCCCCCAGAGCTCTCGACGCCTCCCTGGGGCCGCTCTTCTGTCCAGAGGGCTTCCTGGTCCCCGCGCCAGGCACGATCCCGGGGAGGCCCCGAAGGGCTCGCCTTCGGATCCCCATGGGCCATGGGTAACCATACGGCCGTCCCCAGGGCAGGCGCAGAGGACGCGGTTTCCTGGAAGCCTCTGGAAGCCCTGCCCGGAGGGCGCCCGCGGCGGATTGGCGTGGATCTCCGGAGGCCTCCCGAGGCCCCATCTTGGCTCCCCACATTCCTCCTCGAAATCAAGCGCGTTTGTTTTCCCGCGACGTGTGGCGACGCCCCCTGGCCCGCAATATCTCACTGTTGACGCCGAAACTGGCGACTGCACCTCGTTCGCTGACCCTTACGGCCGCGTTGCGCGCGTCCGTCGACATTGAAATCCGGGGGCGAGGGGGTGGGACCAAAGCCTGCGCCTGCTTCCGAGGAGGGCCGCTGGGCCTGGCCAGCAGGTGCGGCGCCCCCATCTGCGCGGGCGGCGACACCACCGTGGCCACGCCGCTGCTCGGCGCAGACCACTCGGACTCCCCCACGGCGTTCACGGCGCAGACCTCCGGGGAGGGCGCCGGCGGCACGCCAGGCCCACCCGGGGCCCAGGCTTGGCGCGGCGCGTGCGCCCCGAGGGATCCCGAGCCCGGCCAGGACCGGCGCAGGGAAACTGCTACAGGGAGGAGGCTCGATCAG